GAACTTTAACGTTATTTTCTGTTCCTTTTCAGTTGTAACTTTTTCTTTATTTTGGGGCATTTGGAGGTGTGCTGCCTAGAAGAGTTTCACTTTTTCAGTCAACTTTAGTCCTTAAAAGAATTAATTAATTATGTTGTGGTCACTGTAACTCCTTTATTAAACACTTCAGAACGTGAAGGTCAGAAGTCTCAGTAATGGTGAATTAGCCTAGCAGTCACATATTTGTATGTACTAGCTGTTTTGTGCAAACAAAATTGCATTCACATCAAGGCATGTGTTATTACCTCCTACATCTTTAAGGTCTTGTCTGCCTTTAAAAATACTAGTATAAATAATAAAGCAAATGTGCATTCTTTGTGAATATATTAGTTAATAAATATGATGATTGAAGGGAACCTGGTAAATTATCTAAATATCTGTGTGCTTGCTTATTTATGTGCATGTATATAAACGTGCAGATGTGTATGTATTAGTATAGGTGTGTATATATATGTATTTAGTATATAGATTGATGTACTTAGACATGTGTATATATCTTTGACAACCTTGTGGTTGTGTGAGGCCCATATGTCACAGGAAGGAGATTGGGAGTTTTGCTGCACTGAACAACATCACCCCTTCAGCAGCGTATTCTGTCATCACCTGCATGTCCACCCATTTGCACCACAAGGGAGATAGATGAAAGTCAATGTTGTATTAATCAATTAGGTTCTACGTTTGCACCAACGTACTATTTGTGTTCTCTCCTGTTCTGACAGAGACGAGTCTCCTGGGCAGCTTCACTCCCCAAAGCAGGGCAAGAAGCAGTGCTCTGATATAAATGTGTTTGGGACCTGTGAGCAGGGTGCTTCTGCTTTTATTCACATCAAGTTATGATTTATTTTGTGAATAACCTCACTGACATCAAGGTAACTATTTGTAGAGGAAGGTACACTGTTTAATATGAGCATGGTTGGCAGAGTCTGGCCTGCTGTACTTTGGTTCCAGCAACAAAACGCTCTTGTCATCATGGGAGCTGACATGGTGTCACAAACAATCACAGCTCAAAACTAGCTGCTGTCTTGACTGGGACGTGAATGGCTGTTTCTGGAACAGATGAAAAGTCTCACTGTTATATGAAATAAAGATGCTTGGGTTCTGCAGAAAGATGCTCAGATTTGAACTGTTTTCACAGATGTTTGTTGAGCCTGGGACTGGACATGGAGTTCCTCTTCTCTCGCTTCTTGCTGAAAGCAGAGAAGGACGTTGAATCCCGAAGTGCAGTCCAAAACTCAGATGGGCAGTGAACAGGTGATACATTGTCAGGCTATTTCAGATCGTGGAAACCATTTGTCCAGTTTTAGATTGCTATTGCTAGCAGTGTGTCTTTTAGTTATGAGAAAGAGAAGAGGTTATTTAAAACTTAGACAACTCCTGTTTGCCTTTCAGAGCACACCAAGTAGGATTTAAGAAGGAATGCTTAAAGATTACAGGCAGCTTCCTCTGAATCTATTTTATGCAATTCTCACTTATGTCCAATGTGAAGTAAATACGCTGAGAAAGAGCTGGCTCAGCAATTCAATTCGGTGAGGCATGCACAGATAACACTCTGGAATGGGTGTTTGAGGCTCAGCATGGTGAGCAAGAGGGACAAAGAGGCAATTAGTTCTGATTACTTTGATGTATTTCATTTGTATCATCACTCCACAGCCTGTGTGGATGTAGTGCATTCAGGACCCCGGGTCTGTGGAGCTGGTGTGCGTAAAAGCTGGTCACTCCTCCAGTATCTTTGGAGTCAGAGCAGAAGAGACAAAAGTCTTTGATGGGTTCTCAAGCACAGAAGCTGCCCTACCAAAATGCAGCACAAGAAATTTGCCAGAGGAAGGGTGATAAAGAGGGAAACAAACCCGTGGTAATGCACAACGGTAACACCGAGCTACCAAGACACCTTTTAAACTTTGAGGAATATGCTGGATGATGTAATTTTTCAGCTTCCTCTAATGAAGTACATATCTGAGATTCCAAAGTGGCCAGAGGACATAAGTGGTCAGTGACTTTGGAGAGGAATAGGGCAGGGAAGGAGCTGTTGGTGTGCAGGGGCAGGCGTGTAGCACAGGAGCATTCAGATATCCTTGGGAGAGCAGAAAGAAAGAACCTAGTAGATTGACACAGATATTTGAGCTGTAATATAAGGAAGAAATTTGTTAGTGTCCCAAACCTTCAGCTTTCTCTCTTCTCCTGGTCACATGCCGCCATGTGTTAGGCTGTACAGGACTAGATGTATTAAATTTTTTTGTGCATTAATAATAAATTTATAATAACATAAACCCATATCACCATTGATGATGTTTTTTAAAAAAAGTGTGCTTTGGAATACTCTGTCCTTTTTATTTCTGTTAGCCAATAAACTTTCCCAGAAAACCTTATACCTTCAGGCAATATCTAAACACTCTTGGGACAGTAACAGTGATGTTCTAGCAAAAGTGGCAGTCATGCTGGGGACAGCTGTTCATTCTTCTTGTTCGTGATCCAAATGGCAGCTCAGAAGAAGAGTCAATCTAACTCTTATTTGTCCCTCAGAAGAGAGAGAAAATAGCTCATGAGGGCAGCTCATGGAGATCGGTGCTGTACACCTCCTAGTGTACAAGTAAGCCTGAGATTTAGACTTGTCACCTCCCTTGCTCATGTCCTTTGAGAAGAGGTCCCAGAATGGCCGGCTCCCTAGTGTCCTCCAAGGCTGGCTTAGCACCTGCTTAAGGGGCAGCTTAATGTTACAGCTAACCTGTGGTAAAGGGCTGCCGGAAGTGACATCCCTGCTCTTCCCCTGCCACCAGCCACTCACCCCACATGGGATCTAGCACTTGGGTCGCCACGGTCTGTGCAGCCGCTGATTTGATGGCTGTGGCTGCAAAGAGGAGGAAGCAAACAGACCAGCTGAGCTGCAGCATCCACTTGGTGCACACATTTGTGCATTTGCTCTAGATCTGGAAAGCGAGGGCTTTTCTTGGTGGATTTCCATTTAAGATTTCAGAATATGTCTTCATTCTGTGTCGAGATGCACATAAGTGCTGCCATTTCTTCCATGGCATTCATTTTGGTCTGAATTAAGTTCATTAACATGTTTATCTGAACCCTTTTTTTTAGGAGTCTCTTAGTTGTACTGGCCAAAAACCAAATTCTCTTCTCAGTTGCTGCTCTGTTTCTAGAGCTTTTTCAGTTTGCCAAGAATCTAATCTCTATCAAGTAAGATTTCATGACAAATGACATCCAGTCTGCTAAAACATTCACTGATTTTCTTCACTTGCTAGCTTTCAACTTCCCAAACTTTTTTGAACTCTTAACAGCTATCACAACCTAACTTTAGGATGCTGACTGTTACACAAGCTTTTCAAAGTGGGAAAAGGAGTAGAAGTGCCAAGATGATATCTTTCCAGACATAAATAGGTACCCATTTTGTTACTCGTCCTGTCGCATTAGGATTTTCAAAGCCACTGCCTTATTGCTGTAAAATATATCATATTGCATCTGTGGTTGAATAAAGATTCCTTATTCCCCTTCATATCCTTTTACTTACGTTTCACTTAAATTCTTTGACATATCTTTCACATGGTGTTTCACTTACCTGTTTTCAATAGGTACCTATTTCAACATGGAATTAGTAAATACAGCCATAGTTGATTTTCTCTCTCATGTTCTCTGGTCATCAGTTTACTCTGCTCACAGCTAGTGATTGCGTAGATGTAGTTAAATCATCCATACTTGGGGTGATGCTTAAGAAATTGTAACGTTTCTCTTGATTCAAAATAAGTAACAATCTTGAAACTGTCAATTTACAGCTTCAGAATATGGGAGATTGTAATAATGACTAAGTACCTGTTGGGTGGAAATATTCCAGATACAGAAATGGAATTATTCAGTTCTAATTATTCAGTTCAATGGATGATAATGCTTATGGAAATCATCAGGGAAGTAATTCAGTCCCCAGCAGAAATTTCTGTGTTTGAATACAACAAATCTTAAGCACTAATATAGCACTATTAGAGGAAACTGTTGCTGTGGATTTTTTTTTCACCAAAGGTCTTTCTGTAGAAAAGAGGTCAGGAAGAGGATGAGTAGAAACGTCTTAATTTATTTTCTTTCAAACCACAGTCCTTTTTTAGTCTTGTGAACATTGTGCTTGAACTTTGAGAATGGTGTCTTTGCCTAATTATTACTGAAGTAAGAGTCACACAATTAAAATGTACTTGCAGAAAATGTCTGCCTATATTTTAATACGATAGGACATTGTATGAATCTTATAATTTTTCCTCTTGTAGGTAATTGGTGTCAGTAGGCATTTTGGGCTTTTAGATAGAGGCTGGAGTGGTTTTGTGTGCATTTAGTTACTTTATTTTTTTTTCTTCCTTCATCTGCAAGACTTGTTTTAGTGGGAAGAGATGACTTATTCTGAAAGAAGTGTCAGCAGACTTAGCAAGAAAGAGATGTTTTTACAGTGATCCTATGGACCATAATGCCATTGGCCTTCAACAGCAGTGCTATTGCTTGTTTTGAGGTCTAATGAGATAGGTCTGTAATTATGTGTGGTGAATGCAGTGCTATGGATCCAAGATTATGTTTTACTTGTTCTGAAATAATGCGGAGAGATGTCATACAACTTAAGGTGTAGTTTATCAAAAACATCTTCTTTCATTGTTCACTGCTTGGCTTAACTCAAGGGAGGTTTTGGAAAGATTAGGTGTGGCACCTAACTGTGCAGCATTCCGGAAGTGTAAAGAAATACATTGCCTGTCAGATGTAATACTGTGGAGAGGAGGGGAAACCCGGGACTTTTCTTAGAATAAATTTCAAACACCAGTGTTCTAAAATGATAAAAGATCCTATTACAGGAATGTACTTATCAGTCTTGAGACTGTATTATTATGAGAAGCTTTCAGCTGATGATTTTATCCCTGTTTTCGAATGCAAAGGTAGGTGATGAATTTGAAAAACAGTAACAAACCCCCCCTTTTTTTTTTCATTAGATCCTTCAGATGATGAAGCTATTGAGAAGTCAAGTGATAACAGGACAGCAACGCATCATGATTCAGATTCCAAACCTCCTGTGACAAAGAAAAGAAAGCAGGTTTGTAAATTTAGGAATTGTGTAGAGCACAGAGAT